AATCTTTCAAATTATAACTGCCCTACCTGAATAATAATCTAGATGTAGTATACAATCTATTCGAAATAAACGTCAACCAGAAACACTCCTATTCCACATTATTTGATATAGTTTTGTTTTGATCGTATAAAGAAGGTATAGAATCAAGGCTTCCTCATCTTAAAAGTGGAGTCATTCTTTCGATAGTTTTATTTACGCCATTAATTTGAACTACCGTTATGGAATACATGTTTAACACATGGCCGCTGATGAGCAACACTATTTTCCTCGATTGTAACATCACCGAATGCGACTTGTATCATAATTTTACTTCTAATGAGTGACATGACAGGTGCCACAAGTGGAGCGGAAACTTCCTATCCTCCATGACCATATGAGATCAAAAAAGGTAGTTGTTGGATCGTGTTACACACTATTCAGCGTTCAATGGTTTGTTGACTTGTTTTTTTGTTCTTTAGTCTATAGTTTTGTCTGCCTGTCTTTTACCTATATTTCTTGTTTTAAAAACTGAACAGCCATATTTCTAAAACAATCAAGTTATGGGAATTTGAGAAAGGCTATGACCCCAGCTCACTAACAACAGTCTGGTGTATATAGTCCTCAGATATGTATTAGAAAAGTCCTTACTTAATCATATAGCGGTATATTGATTTTTCTTGTTTATGTAATAACCTTGATTACATTTAGAACAGTTTGTCTGGTAAACACATGTTGTCTGGTTATTAAAGTGCCTCTAATCTTTTCTCTTCCTATGTTTAGCCGCGAGATGTCGACAGCCTTCATCAGAATACGATTTTAAATACCTTGAACTCAGGGAAGTTTTAACAGTTCAGTCTTCAATGATAAAGTAATCAAATATGACGCAATTGTGACAGTGAACATTTACTTCTGGCAAATTACAATGTACTCTTAAACTCTTGAAAAATATATATCATAATATTATTTAGTTAATTTTCAATAATCTATTTTGTTGGGGATATATATATAAATTGTTGTTTTGCTTTTATATCTATATTCATATTTTTGGAAATTCTAATTTAATCTTATTTACATTTTGAATTATATTTCTGTTGTTAATAAACATACTTTTTATAATTTTGTTTAGCTTACAGATGTAATTTGACTAATACTTTTCATAAACTATGATTAACAAGTTTTGATGTCTAATCATCACATGAAGACAACCGTATAATATATCAACTGATATTTATGATTAATATTGACGAGTAATAACATCCCCTTACTTTCAAAATTGCATTGTGGTTTAGCAGTTGATAAGTCCTTTCAAACACGTTTAAGTCTCTTAAAAAGCTCAGGACAGGTCTCGTCTAACTGAATACCCCCTGCCCAAATATAACTTCCGTTTTAACTGCCATAAAACATAGTTTGGGAATTTGTTTATTATTTCATGAAATTTCCAAATTATCTTTAGGTGAGCGTACTAATTAGTTTCATACTTGCGAAATGAATACATTTGTAAATTTTGATATATCGAGCCCCTTTTTATTCTTTATTGTATAAGCTATGTTTTAAGAAAAGTGTTTTCAAAAAGGTTCAAAAATAGATAGATAAATGTTCAATTATACACACGATGTTTTAAAAAACACATACAAAGATCGTATGATAAAAAAAAGTATTAACAAAAATACGGAACTCTTAGGTAAATTCAGAAAAGGGGGGGGGGGGGGGGGGGAAAGCCCCTAAAAATTGACAACATCAAACGTTAGACTTCATCAATCAACGGAACGAATAGAAAATAACTGTCATATTCCTGACTTGGTGCCGGAATGGTGATTTAAACATGGTTTTATAGCTAGCAAAACCTCCCACTTGTTTGACAGTTGTAATAGTTCTGTTACATTGACAAAATCGGGTGAGCAACCCAAACAGACATAATGGATTAATGGGACAATAATTGAGATCCAGCAGCCAATAATTTGCATCCATACATTAAAAAGCTTTTGTTTTAAACTTTTAGACATTTTGAGAATTAATGAGCTTTAGTTTGTTATCAGGTATGTTTGTTAATGTCACCACATGTGTGCATGATAAAATCTCCTTAAAATGTCAAATACATTAACAAGAGCATTAAACACGTTTTCTTAAAATACTGGGAATGCACAGACCGTACCTAATATTTCCTCCTACCTAATGAAATAAAAAGTCAACCACATTAAAATAAGTATATTTACTAAAAACTACATATATACCCAGTTGCAGCTATACGTCTGCTTGAAACCAATAAAAGAGTCATCAGTAGGAACAGACGTTCAAATCTCGTTAACATATACGAATACACAAACTTGAAGAGAATACCAAAAAGAATCGTAACGAAGCGGAATAACATCTCCTAATATGTATGCATTACCAAATTTGGTAATCCAAAATTTTACAAGTTAACGTATGTTTTGATCGATACAACATGTTTACCTGGAGTTTGACTTTCTAGATCATTCCAACATATTTGCATTGGTGTGGGTAGATATGTTGGCTCGATATAAACATACGTAAACCTGTGTGGATTTTGCATTATGTCAACAGTCTTCACTTGGGCTCAGTCATGTTTGATGTATCCAAATATACGTATACCGGTGTCTATGTAAATTTGTTTGATGTGGCAAACAGCAATACGTACAAATGAACGATGCATTAAATGTATATGTTAATAAAGAATTATCAAACTGGTTTAATGTTTTCGTTTCGTGCTTTGAAAAGTACTTTATTTGAACCTTCACATTGTTTTTAAACGTAAATGCACTGATAAATATCATTTCAAGTCATATGAATTGGTTAATGCACTCGGTAAAACCTGTACCGCACTCGAAAAAATCATCACTGCTCTCGAAAAAACCCGGACATATAAAAATTAATTTATTTTCAAGATATCCTTCTCAATGTAATACAAAAAAATTGTGTAAAATGTCTATACATTAAGTATAAATAAATTCCATGTATTCATTTCCTTTCACATTTACATTGGTGTGTTCAAACATAATTTTATTCTATGTTTTGGAATAAAAGCATTGTAAAGCTGCATTAAACTTTTTTAATACAAAATAATGTAGGGTTGATAATATGTTTTTATCACACATACTAACTTACCTTGTATGATGTTGTATATTAAGTTCAAGCATGCATTTCATATATAACCAGAAAGGACGTCTGTTTGTTTTAATTTTTTATCATATTCACTCGGAAAAACGTGGTCACACTCGAAACTACTCGATCATATCACTCGAAAAAAATGATCCCAGCCGGATGCTTTACCTTCTTTGTTACTAATTAGAGTTTTCTGATCTCTTTTATCTATATTGAAATAATTTACGAACGTGGACGAATTTCAATGGTGAACACTTTAGTTGATTGTTGATTGATATCTATTGGGTCCTTCATCTGACAATTATATTCTTAATCATCTGACAATTATATTTTTTTACTACAGACTGTGTGAATAAGGTCTTGCTGCAATCTTCAAATGAACATGAACGAAATATGTTGAAGTAGTACGTTCTCTTTTTAACGTTTCGTTATTAATGATAAATTTATGATGCTTAATCATTGATATATATATTTTTTTTGTGTGTATGAAAAACGAGAATAACACGAGGTCTGTCATGATAATCCAAGATATATTCCTAAAAACATATCTATCAGACCATGATCCTTGAGTAACATGTATAAGACAAGCTAGAAATCAAATACACAGTACACCTTTGCATAATTCATTTGTGAGCATAAAAACGAAATAAGTTCACAAACATTACAAAAAAACTATATTTCACTGAGAGAGTCTATACTTTTGTTTAATTAGTTAAATAACTATTGTCGTTTATTTCGTAATTACTACGTACCGCCATGAGATTATACTCGGTAACACAAATTTTACCAGTAGAAATTGGAAGCTTTATGATTAAAGCTTCTAATTTGAAAGTACATGTTACTTTCAAAAATAACCATTGTATGTTTGCGATGAAAGTAATAGAAGCCATACGCACTAGCCCAGTAGTCAGTACGTCTGTTTTGAAATGAATTATCATTGATATGGTCATAATTATAAATTTTGAATCACCATTGCTCTTAAACTTCGTACTTTATTTGGCCCTTTTAACTTTTTTAATTCGATCGTTACTGATTAGTTTTTGCAGACGAAACGGGAGTCTGGCGTAAACAAATGTTAAGCCTAGTATCTTTGATAAGTTTATTCATAAATCATTTAAAGGCATAGAAAAAAAAGGTTAAGAACAGGAGCCTACGCAAAGCCAATTTGTTTAAGTTTCAAGTACAATTACCTGATTCTCTGATTCAGCAAGTCAAAAGCACGATTAATACCGACTAAACTATTCGACAAACACATTCGTGTAAACGTCAGAAAAGGTTTTTTATACACTTTTAATCGTTTGCTTTTTTCATCAACAACAAATTGATCGACTCAACGTTTTTAATTTTTTTTTATGTTTTTTTATTTCAAATTTACAGACCACTTCCTCACCACCAAATGACTCCTCAGAAACCGACTTGCAAACAAACACACAAAATAATACCTTGTAATTTTGTAAATGACGTTGGTCGCTGTCTGACATATTTGGTTTTGGTTTATTGTTGTGCATGCCGTTGGTTTTATCGTTTGAATTGTTTTATATTTTGTCATGTTGGAACTTTATATAGCTTACTATGGATTTAAATGGGTTTTATTTTGCCCAGCGTTGATGGTTACCATAACTTGTTAACATAAACGTCATTTCGTCTGTGGTAGATAGTTGTCCTATAGGCAATCATATCACATCCAATTTTTCACGGTACACATACAATTTATATAACATGTTTAATATTGAAGTTCTTTTTATCAAGGGAAGGTAAATTAAATGCATTAAATATTCCAGTCATTTACTTCCGACTTTTATAATTATTTCATATAAAAGTATCGCCTTTAACCGGAACAACTAATACACGCATTATGCCTGACAATATTGGCCTTGAGATTTATGCATTTCTACAAACAAATTGAAATTCGTCAGTTCATAACAGGATGTAATTTTTTTCAACAGCAAACGACTGGTTAATACAGACATATGCTGCTTGGTTAAAAATCCGTTCAATCTTATAAATACTACATGTGCACATCAAAGTTGTTCATATCTTATTTCAACGAGTACATCAGAGAGAGCAGGATGGCTCAAAATTACCAGGTAAGATTTCAATGCAATATTATGTATACAGTTATTAGTCTTTTCTTTAATTATTGTGCATATTTATCATGTTTACGATAATGGTTGTTCAGTAAATCATTTTACATATTTGTTCATATATTTTCAAAATTAACAACCAAATAAATTCAAAACATAAAGGGATTTAAACATATGATTTCATTTTTGTTAACAAAACTGTTTTTGTGGCCTCTAATTAACAATCGAAAGCCATTCATCTTAGGTGTGCTGGAAGGACCAATATTCTTTCGAGAGGCGCTCATCGTTTTGTTCATAGCTATTAAAATATATCTTGTAATAATTCGTAATTCATTGCATCGCAAACGAGATTGTGGCTATAGATAGTACAATTTATCTGTGTTTATATGTGTTTATTTGTGGCGTAGCGGCCACCAAATCCATTGGTGTGTTGGTAAAATGTTCGAAACGGTTATTTATACCTTATAAGTAATTGTCGCTGATATTGCACCTAAAAATGGGATTTGATTATCTTTCCATATTTCCTTGGAGTTCGTCTTTTTGTATGTTATTTTACTTTGTTTTTCTTTCATAACTCTTAGGAGTGTTTTGCCTGATCTTAATGCATTTTAATCCGAAAGGTAGGAGATACAAAGAGGTGATAAATACATTTTGTAATTGTTGTCATATGTGGTAAGGTGCCGTTTAACAATGTCAAAAACAAATTAAATTCAATAAAAATGTTATACATATTATGTATGATTAGCATAAAGGAAGAATATATGTATCTGGTATAAAGTATGTAAAGCAATGCAACATAAATCGACAAAACGGTTCGGTTATTTCTTAGGCAAAAAAAGAAATTTCAGCTTTCAAATTGTGACCGTTTCATTTGAATATAGCATAAATCCTGAAGCACCTGCATCTACGGCCCATAAACAACAACTTACCTAATCACACTCATATGCATATGGTCTGAACATATGAGTACGTGAAACATTTGAAAACGTTCCAAATACTCAATGTTATAGTTGTTAAACATACTCCTCCCATTTTACTTGATACGTAATAAATATAGATGTTTGACTAATGCCTTAAGTGTAAAAGAAAATTGCTTATTTTATCGGTCAATGTGTTGTTTAAATTTACTTTGAATTAGTTATAATATTCTTTGATTATTCCTGTTGCCTGTAACGCGTGTTTATGTGGATATACCATTGTTCAAGAACAAAAATAGGCCTTAATCAGTTAGAATGACAATTGATCCAAAGTTAACTAAAATGGTTTTGAAGTTATACTTAAAAACAGAAAAATATATATTTCTATTGTATGTTTATATAATAATTTCAATATTAGGGCTTTACAATAAATGCAAACTGATAAATAATGCTAGAAGGCAATGATCGGAAATAAACAATAATGAATGCGGTTGGTTGAGAAATGAAATAGTTTTATGAAAAGTATAAATTAATGCATTTTCAAAGAATGAGCTCATATTTTTAATTCGAAGACAATCTAAGTTTGACTGTCAGATGGTGTGGTAATAAAGTGTTGAGTTGACACGATCGAGTCTTGCTAATCATAAAAATAAATAAGAACAAAATATGTCTGACTCAACTATGCATATAACTTCAAATAATAGTATTCCCATATATATTTCACGAATGTTTATTATTTACAGCTATGTCTGTTAGTTTTGATTGTGGTATTCCTATCTCAAAGTGCTTGCTTTGCACTGTTCGTACCGGGACCAGACACGTCAGAACAATTTTTTGTTATTGAAGGCCTTGGAGATGGAGGTAATTGAATGTTGATTTCATACATGATTATGAACATTGAATATTACACATTCATGTGAATAATGATAAATATGATTATCAATAGTATGATGTTTTATCCTCGTCTTTTATGAAGATTATATGAGTGCGTTCAAAGACTGCTTAACATAATTTGCTGTGAGAAATAAGGCAACTTCCATGCCTTTCACGCATAAGATATAAATTATTTTTAAATGCAGCATAGGGACGCATGATAAATACAAATGGATACTATTTATGTTTTGATATTTTAAAATATTTTGAAATTACAATATTTTTGTTTTATTTTTCTAAACGTTTTCCTTCTCACCTATGTAATAAAAAATTGAAATAAATAAATATATTTATATGATAATACATTCTTAATGACTAGAAGAATACAATGTTTTTGTTATATCAGTTGTTTGCGTTTTTTTTTTTTTTCTGTATATGCATTAATCGTATTACTATCGACATAATGATAAGAATCTAACCTAATATCCTTGTTAAGGCAAATACAGTTCTAAACAACAGCGATTAATCGTATTATACAGCTTTCCGGTTCCTTCATTTTCCCAGTTTGCACCCGAAGTTAGTACCAAATTGAACAATCGTACTTCAGCTGTTGTTTCGAAATTAACCCTTTATAGGATTATAAACAAAAACTATTTACCATAAGATATATTCCGCTATTTGCCAGATGTTGTTTGTATTAAAACCTTTTTGTTATACATGTACCAATCTTGTCACGAACGATAAGTTTTATGTTTAAATATATCTCATTTAAAAGTCTGTGTTTGAAATACATAGTGATAAAATCAAATTGAGAATGGAAATGGGGAATGTGTCAAAGAGACAACAACCCGACCATAGAACAGACAACAGCAGAAGGTCACCAACAGGTCTTCAATGCAGCGAGAAATTCCCGCACCCGGAGGCGTCCTTCAGCTGGCCCCTAAACAAATATATATATACTAGTTCAGTGATAATGAACGCCATACTAAACTCCAAATTGTACACAAGAAACTAAAATTAAAAATAATACTAACAAAGGCTAGAGGCTCCTGACTTGGGACAGGCGCAAAAATGCGGCGGGGTTAAACATGTTTATGAGATCTCAACCCTCCCCCTATACCTCTAGCCAATGTAGAAGAGTAAACGCATAACAATACGCACATTAAAATTCAGTTCAAGAGAAGTCCGAGTCTGATGTCAGAAGATGTAACCAAAGAAAATAAACAAAATGACAATAATACATAAATAACAACAGACTACTAGCAGTTAACTGACATGCCAGCTCCAGACTTCAATTAAACTGATTGAAAGATTATGTCTTCGTCATATGAATATCAGGCACAATCCTTCCCGTTAGGGGTTTAGTATCATACCATCATAACATATATGAGAAGAACATAACCCGTGTCATGCCAACAACTGGTTTTTAAATAATTGTGTTAAGTGCCGATGCAAAGACCCTATAAGTGAATCAATATTAACGCCAAAATATGCAATCTTTAATGACCTGACAACAGTATCGTAACTATATCCCTTCTTAATAAGTCTATTTAAAGGTTTTATTAGCTTCAGAGGTGAATACTGACATTTTTGTGCTTTATAAAGAATATTTCCATAAAAAATTGGATGTGAAATACCTGAACGTAAAAGAAGTCTGCATGTTGAGCTATATTTACGAATGATGTCCTTATACATGATAAAAACATGAATATTGTGCAGTGATCACACCGATATTTTTATGTCGGAAGTTATACGGTTACTTTTTTGATATCGTGGAGTAATTAATGCATGAAGTTGTAAATCAATGTTTGTTTACACAGTTTTAGCTGCTACATCCCAATTATTGTCAAGTTTACCAATTATGTCTGTTTAGGTTGTTTATCCAATTTTGTCAATGTGACGGAACTATAAACAACTGTACTGTAAGTGAGAGGTTTAGCTAGCTATCAAACCAGGTGAAACCATCAATTGTTTCTTAGGAAAAAGATTGTACCAAGTTAGGAATATGACAGTTGTTTTTCCGTTCGTTCCGTTGGTTGATTTAGTCGAGCGTTTGATTCTGAGACGTTTTCTGGACTTCCCACTTTTTGAATATAACTTGGAGTTTGGTATTTTTCTTAATACTTCTTGATATTTACGTGTGTGTTTAACTTCCATTACAATATAAACATCAATGGTTTAAACTGGTTAAGTAAATACTTATAAAGGTGATAAGAATATGAAATATCCTTTTACTCTTTCCTTTTTTGCTGACTTGATTTAATGATAAATAATATGATTATAACTATGTATTATTGTTGCTTTTTTAATGAAATCTACACTGAGCTATGCACATCGATATAAGAGTGTAGGACGGCATGGTTACATATCAGTATGTCTAGCCAGCTTTAATAATTTCGAGCAATTTGACAAATGTCTCTGCTATTTTGTTGTTTATTTTTTGTAAGTTTTATTATTTTTTTCGGGGGTGATTGGCGGCTTGTTATATCATTTGTATCGGATAAAATTGAAAAGCTCTTACCAATATTTGTATGTTCCATATCTTCAATAAATCAACTAATTGGGATTCACAAGGGAAGATAGAGATAAAAGAAAATAAACTGAATGCTACCATATGATTTTGTGTTTTTTCTGTCAGGAACCTAAACAACAGTAGTCTTTCCTCATATCTTTATGAATTGTCATTCGGGGAAATAGGTGTCAACGACAAAGCTTGAATAATATATTTTTTAATATTTTATTTTATCTAGTTTAAGCACATGGTGAATTTGAGCATAATTTGTTTAATGAAAAAAATGTTATATTTTGGACGACGAACTGTGTTATCTATATATCTGGTATTGTGGTGTGTGGTTACTGTCTCAGAGCACCTTAGATCACCCCCGATTTTTGGTAGGGTTCGTGTTGCTCAGTCTTTGGTTTTCTATGTTGTGTTTTGTGAAATGTTGTTAGGCTTGTGACCTTTTCTTTTTTGATTTGACGTTGTCAGTTTATTTTCGACTTATGAATTTGAATGTCCCTTTGGTATCTTTCGTCTCTCCTTTACTTATAACGCACACTTCCTATAATTCATATTTGTAATCAAAACATTTGAACTGATAAAAAATATGATCACGATTTAACACTGACTAAGCCGTGTTTTCGAATTTCATACAGTAGATGCGTTTGAAGTCGCTTTATAAGTAGACAAGTTTGAGCTATCGTTGAAAAGGATCAAGACGTTTGTTAACGCCACATGTGAAATGTATAAAGCAAATGCGGATCAGATATATTGTCTACATCTTCATAAGTTTACCAAACAATTGTCTTGTTTCGTAATGTTTGTTATTGTTTAGTTTTACAATTGGACTATTTATGGGTATTGTCTTATACATGATTTCATGAAAAGCATACCGCACATGTCAATTGAATGCTTCGGAATATGCCTTCAGAATAAGGCAATATGAAAAGGTTTAAAATTAGCCTTTTGGGGTTAGAATACATCTTTACGCTTTCATTTTACACCATTGGCAGTAATTTTGAAAAATAAAAGACTTTAAATGGAATCGATTCCTGATCTTGAAATTGGTATAACATTTAGTTGATTTGTGAAGGTCTGCAGGAAATGTCATTTTTGCTTGTTTTATTCAGTTTATTTTGTTGGTGTTTAGTGACATTTGTTAGCTACTGCTCACACGTTATAATTTCTTTGTATAACTAAACAAAATATATTTACAATAAATGCATCTGGACACAATTAAAAAATGTTATCTTAACCATTGCCACCAGCTGGTTATGCCATTTATAAAACAAAGTAGGCTATTAATATGACACAATGTTACATACCTACCCTCATTACAAACGAGTTACTTCAAACATATAGATTGTGTACGCCTTGACTCATTTTCATGTTTCAAGCACATAGGAACACAAAGTTCCTTTGTTGTTGAAACTATTTGTCTTCGTAACATCACTCATTTATTTGGTGTATGCATTCAGTTGATAGATATTGAATATTTAATTTTGTTCATGTAAATTTGACTCCTGCTTATTATCAGGAAACTAAAATTCAAATGAAAACTAAAGCGTTTTTTATGAATACAATGTCACAGTTATACACATTCAATGTTGAATATTGGCGAATACCAGTTGACGTCGATGATAACTTTATATGCGTGTTTTTATCTTTAATCTATATCATCTTCTTACTGCACTATTTTACCGTGCACATATAAATCATTAAATGATATAACGATATAATGTGTTTAACAGACGAATAATGTATTAAAGGCTGTTAAAAGGAAATGTTTTTAGAGAACAAAAGACCTGTCTGTTCTTTGTTAAAATTTGCTATTTTATACTTGTCATTTCTCAATCCCATGTTGACATTTTCCGTTTTTTGATAATTAGAAATGTCAACTTGAACCTGAGGAATCTCAACGTCAATTTGACAAAATATGAACTTGGAATTAAAAAAATGTCAAGGTGAAAGAAGAGAGGCGAAAAGTATCAAAGGGACATTCAAACTCATGAGTGGAGAATACTAAAAAGTAAACTGACAACGCCACGGCAAAATGTTGCTTCCGTCGTGCTACTCATGTTAGTACAAACTCTGCGATCAGTCTAATTTGGTAGGTCACATTTTTGGAAAAAGGGGACAGGATTGTAGTTACGCATTCGGAAGATATCTATCGCCATTTGTAAAACAGATATTTCATAACGGTCAACCAACTCGGGATGGCGTACGTAAAATTTTCGAAACGATAAAATTGAGACATGTTAAGTTGGAAGTGTTGCAACCGACTCACATAGACTTGTGATATCAGGATATCTAACACAAAACTTTTTATTGAAAAAATGAGTTTACTAAACAGAACCGCATCTTTCTGAATCAACTGATTATGATTTGATTTTGTTTTCTGTTCAGTACCATCTAAATATCCTCAGCACACATTTCATAAGCTAAAATCATGATTATTTTTTTTTTCCTAAGGTACTCTAGGAGCTGGTGCAGAGACTGGTATATTAGGTAATACAGGGCCTGACTTATCAGGTCTTGCAGCTTTTTTCCCTCTTTTACTACTTGCACCCTTATTACTTGCGGCAACGGCACCGGCTGCACCAGCAGCGCCAGCACCAGCACCAGCACCAGCACCTGCTGCACCGAGTCCATCAGTAACAACGCAAGTCCTACCCACTTGTAAGTATAGTTTACCACACTTAATTTAACCTGTTCATTGTTGTTTAGCCAGGAAAACTCCTTGAGCAATATGAAATGAGTAGATAACCTCTAAAATTAGCTTACATCGCTGAAGGCCGAGAAATGACATAGAGTTATGTACACCATTTAGTGTGAATAGTTGTCTCTTCTTTTTCTTCCTTTGTGTTCGTTTTCTACAATAGCAGCTGACTTGTAAACCGAACATATCCATGCGTATAACGTACATCAATGCTACCCCATATTGAGTGAAAATAACATTTTTGCTGCTCGGGAAGCAATGAATGTATTTTCTATATTTCTATATAAAACTTGCATTCATTTTGGCTACCTTTTTTGCCTTGATAACGTTATGCAACCTTTGACGATGCTCATTCATTCATTCCGTAATGATGTTTTTCGCCATCATTTTAATTGCAATTTTTTAAAAGTTTTAAACAAATGTGTTTTTTTATATAAATAGCAACATGTGTTCTGGAATGCCCTGCAACGTACATGATGTTAGCCGACACAACGATTAGTCCTAATTGTTACATTGGTAGTGGAACTAGTGCGTTACCTTGGGTGGAAGCTCTGGTGAGTATGCTAATTAATCACTAATTGCAAGGACGAGCAGGTAACCTTGAAAACAAACAGGAATCAGAAACCGTGCTATACATTGAATCAATATGTGAGAAGAATATAATTTAACAATAAAGACATTTTTTATGTATTTGTCAGCTTAAATTACAGAATTCTTAAAATCTCACTTAAGTAATGTTATACGTTACCAGTAAATTAGAAGTTTGATTGAATAGATATAAGAAGATGTGGTATGAGTGCCAATGAGACAACTCTCCATCCTAGTAACAATTTATAAAAGTAAACCATTGAAGACTGTATTACACAAATTTGCATTTTTCGAAATTCTAAGAATTTTCTACTCCAGGAATATATTACTTTAGATGTATTTGACAAAACCCTTCGGAATTTGTGGTCCTCAATGCTCTTCAACTTCGCACTTTATTGGGTTTTTTTTATCGGAGCGTCATTGATGAATCTTTTGTAGACGTAATGCGTGTACAACATTGTAATCCTGGTATCTATGATGAGTTCAGTTACCCGATTTTGAATTCGAAGAATGACAAATTTCATCAATCCCTATCGTACAAGTTGTATCCTAATTCACATTTTATGTGCTGTGTTCATGATAATGTCGCTTGTGTTTTGTTCTATATTAGATTTATTTAATACTTTTGTTTCAAGCCTTGTCAACTTCGCGAAGTATATGGTTTTTACTTTGTATATTCGAAAAACTCTTGGCGCCCTTACAGATGTTAAGCTAAGCCAAAACAGTTAGACATGATTTGATCTGATTCATCAATAACATAATAATCTATAGAATATCTTTCCTGCCAAAACCTTATATAGTAAAAAATAACTGAATGGTCTTTGACATCATATTTGCACCTAATTGCAGTCCGAATCAAAGAAGATATGGGGATATATGTCGATGAAACAGGAACCTATACAAAATAAATAAAAAAGAAAATTTATATTATGTGCTTGAACTCGAAATAATACTGGCTAAGCATAAACGTTTAAAATGATAAGTCCTTATCTAGAAGAAATGGTATTTATGTCATCCTACTAAATTTCAGGCGAATTGTCTCCGGACACCAGGTGCCTACTTGTGGAGACCAAACAGTGAATCAGAAGCCAATGCGGTTAGAAATAAGTTAGGTATAGGTAAGTTAAGATTGTATTATTAATTCTTTGTTTATTGATGTTAATCAAACGGAAATAAAGACCGATTATTTTTATCAAGACACCCTATGTACTTGAATTGAGTAATTGTGAAATAATTAATGTATAAGAGCGTCAAATAGCCATTAGTACGTCATGATACAGAATAGTTTCTATTTTACTTGAGATATATGTACATTCATTGTTTTTACATTCGAATGATAACTAGAACTTGACCTATTTAGGATGTAATCGATGAAAGTTTAAACAGATTTTCTACAATTAGCATTAAGAAAATGTAAGAATTAACTTAAAAAATTATAAAAAAGAACCTTAAACGATTAAAAAAAATACAACCACATACCACAGACCGTTTTAAATTTGAGTTTTTGCATGATGGTAAAAGAGGTTTTTTCTTTTTTCCTTAAAACGAACAAAATGATAAAAACTTCATGTTGCGTCAAAAATGACGACACAATCTATTCAACTATATAATTGGTAATATCAACCATTAATATTGGTCTATACCAAAATGTTTTAGGAAAAAACGTACGCTTTTACATTTATATAAGATCACATATCCTTTGATAAATGATTGCAATCATTTGCATAACATTTATGTATAAAATTCAAATAAATTTAAGATAGATATTTATTGTGAGCATATTTTATACATATTTGTAAAACAAAGTTTTTATACGACATTAACGAAAAGTTATTCCGATAACTTGATTCAATAATATACCTTACTGTAAAATTATCTTTTTTACTTTTTGGCAAGACCAGTTACCCTGTTGCTTTATTTATTTTTTGCATGAAAGATATTCAACAATTCAGAAAAAAGTTGTGACATTTTCTGTCGGCACTCTTGTTGTTTCCTTTTTACTTTGTCATTAATTAGCAGCAATCTCTTACCAAAGAAATTCGAAATTCGAAAACTGAACAAGGTTCATAGGTATTGCAGGAAGTAATGTGATATTTTTTCTTTATATATCATCGTAGAAAGTATTGAATTCACGCAATGGAACTCCATAAAAAAATATCTAGGCCGGCAATATATGAAAGAAGATAAAACAGATTACTGTATTAAGGTGTAAATAAAGGCAACAGTAGCATACCGCTGTTCAATAGTCATAAATCGATTAAGCGAAAACAAATCCGGATTACAAACTAAAACCGAGGGGAACACATCAACTATAAGAGGAAAACAACGGAACGACAGGTGTATCAAGGTGTAAGTTCGAACAATTCCTGCCAACATTTTGGCCCTGCTTTTACTTTGTTGCAATAACATCATATAGGCTTTATACTTAACAAAATTAAACAAGGTTATGGCTTAAACTATGTGTCTGGACTAAACACACGAATTGAGATTTTAGAAATGACTACTTCTTCCAAAACCACATATCTTTTGTTTCTTACATTAAATAATATAATAGTTTACTGTGCAGAGGGTAATCCCGGGACTGAAGGTCTTACCGCGGACCATATTTTGATAGACTTCGTCCGGACTCAGTCTCATTAACCTGTTCCATATCTCAACCCTTATGCAATCAATTTATAAGGGTGTTTGGTGCGTCCAAAACACTTTTCTGAATTTTCTTTATCTATAATGATGAAAGGTCAGGGATATATTTATACTTGATTACTGTAGAAGCATTAGGATACAAAAACTGTACAGAAAAGCCAATTTCACCTAAGATCAACTTTGTCTGATTGCGTTTGTACGAATCGTATTAGTCTATAATAATTTCGGATTAATCTCATGATAATTTCTAAATATCAATGAAGCGATTATAAGAAAGTTATGTTATTAATCTTTTGTGTTCTGAGCTTTCGAGCTGATGACATCGTTAGATGTCAACATGCAGCGATATCGGCCCAGTGTTAGGTAAATCAAAAACATCCGATGATGTTGGTGCATCCGAAGCGCCCTCTGCGTCTACCTTTATTAATTGTGTTATGAGGAAGAACAACTTACATCTACACTACATAAGTTTTACGTTCACCATAACAAATTGGTTGAAGGATACGATATGTCTGTGTCTCAAATCACTGGCGACATGTTTTCGAAGTCTTAGATCTATAGATACCAGAAATGTCCTCTAATCTGTTTGAGTACAGTTTCATTATCAATTTTGTCCTATTTCCGATTTCGACATTTTTATTGAATGTTTGGATTCGCATTGCTGAAGATCCATGCACAGCAGGAGACGCTTACCAATTCGACACACTACAATCTCGCCCCACGACGATAGTTGTAAAACTAGAAAATTAGAAATCTGCATCAAACACTTCACTACGTTTGATTTTGCCCCGAATATACAGTGCATATTTTATTTTTCATTCATCCTCGTGTCCTGTATTGTTAACATCTTCGAGTTACGATTCTGTAAAGAAAGAGATTTAAGATACACGAATAGGTCAATGATGAGAAAGAAGCTTATTGTATATATAGTTTTACTCCGTCCACTCATACGGTTACGCACCATATGGCTTTAGAGCAGTTCCAATATTGCAAATCATATGTTTCGTTCCTTGCGACCTCGACAGGATTTATTTAACTTGTTTTTTGGGGGGGATGCCTGCATTAATTCGGGATTATGACAGTTGTTTTCCATTCGTTCCGTTTGTTGGTATAGTCGAGCATTTTTATGTCAGGTTTTATGTTTAATTTACTGATTTTCTATCTAAATCATTTAAATTTAATTTTTCTTGCAGCCACAGACGTCATGGTGTGGACCGGTGCAAATATTCTGACAAACGATGGCTATTCATTTATCGTAGAAAATAGTGAATTTTTATTCACTGCTCCCCCATTTGGAACAGGTAAATTTGACTGTTTTAGATAATTCAGCCAAAATATATACACAACACTGATAAGTAATTTTATATTTTCATAAATTTGTTGGTGTAAGTGACATTTGCTGTTATTCTGACACAATACAATTTAAAAAGGACCAACACCGAGAGAAAATAAATAAAGATATGTGGGATATACGTCAACAAAACAGCATAAAAACAACACAAAACACAAAAGTCATATATAGGTCAAGATATGGTCTTCAACAAAAGAAAGGTGTTTATACAAAAGGTTTAGCTTAAAACAGACTAACAAGGATCTGCATTCAACACAATTGTAAAATAAACCTCGTAATAGGAAATTTATAGAAATTTGGCGTATCGGATATACTACATCTCAACACAGTAGTGCACAGGACTACTGGAATGATGTCACCATCGGGGTCGAAATTTAAAGGCCTTGATACGGCATGTTAGATTTGAATAGATTTACTAAAGACAAATACTTCCGTCCTTATGGAAAAAAAAAACAATTGAATACACAGTGCCTCTGAGATAACTAAGGAACAAGTTATTAATTAGAATATGTCATAAGCAACAGAAAGATCTTCCATAAGAAAGGGAAAATATCCTTTGAAGTTTATTTATTAGTCTGGTAGGAGGGTTTAGCAAGAATATCTACTATATGTTTTTGTGTCTCTTTTGTGTTATTTAAGATGAAATTTGAAATAAATCGTCTGTTATTTTTTTAGCCGCGACGCCAGCAGCAGGTAATGACTGTGTGTCAATACAATTACCAGCCACACTCGGGGCGACTTATCAATGGACTGCCAAGATGTGTACCGAAAGTAATGCCTACGTTTGCGAAGTTCCTCCAGTAAGTCTTATCCTTCATTTAGCTATTACTTAGAAATATTCTATTTTAAATCTTACTATATAATAACAGCTCATACATCAAAAAGAAATCAATATTGGTCAAAGACAGGTTACCATCGCGTAGCATTTTATGCAATAAAAGGCGCATTTCGAATATAAAAGAAACTGTTTTTGTATTTGAACAAATATATTGAACTTCAGTTGTAATAACGTTGTTTTTAAGTTATCCGATTGTACGATTTTCGGTCAATGTCAATTTTTGAGGTATATCAACAGCTTAGTGACGTCTCTTATATTAGATAACTTACTATTTTCAGGAATGAGCTAAGTCCTATTTTGCTTTAGGATACCAATTTCTTTCAAAATAATAATAAAAAAGTGTTTTTAATTTAAAATCATACTCTGTGTTCCTTTTCATTATTAGTTAAATTGCTGATTTCACGTCACAAACGTTCATGGTATGGTTAGATTTATATGGTGAAGAAAAGCTTCGAAATGAACGGAAAATGAAAAGCGGAAGATACATAATGAGCATGCAAGCTCTATATTTATTTTCCTGTTTCTTTTACTTTATCGTGTTGTGTTTTTTCAGACATGTCCATAGAGAGTATGTATGCTGCCATCGTAGAACTTCTTTGGAAGAATATTGTTGATGATTGGTACAATAAAATCGTAAAAGTTGGCTTATCTTTTCTAAAAAAATTGAGAAGTAAACTTAGGTGATCAGGAAAAGTGACCAGTTTCTTTTCCATTAGTGAAATGCCGTGTTGGTCATGACATGTAAAATTGAGTGTTTCCTTAGAACGTCGTATTCGGTTTAATCAAGGAAAGAACGAAAGACTTGCGGCCTCGACCAGCGGAACATATTCGTGGTCACTATTGACTTCTATTAGGTGAAATAAAGCCATGATGGCAACTGCAATGCTTTCAATTGATGATTTAAACTGGTCCTAGGTTCTACAGCTTCCTATTTCGCTAATCTCGGATTCTTGGTTATTGTATTAGTTTTACTGGAAGATATTTGACATATTTAAATTTGATAGCTCGCTGACTTGAACAGACATTGTTTTTTCCATACTTTTAGAAATGTGCATGAAATGATAAGCTGGGTATATGTCAATGAGAAAACATTATATTTTAAACTAGAATTGTTCAAACTTATGGTGGTGGTAATGAAAAAGTATATTGCAAATAGATACTATGAACATTAACGGTACTAATTTTATTGCACAATCAAGCACCACGTATTGAAATATAAAGATGTGGTACGATTGCTAATAAGACAACTATTCATCATAGACCAACGAATGATGATGTTTACAAATGAAGATTACCATATATCAAGAATAATCAAGACCGAAACCGTATAGAAAGCTAGCGAAGGCACAGGCATAACAAAATGTGAAACAATTCAAGTAAGAAAAAATAGCAGACTGATTCATGGTAAAAAAAACCAAAGAACGGTGATGTGATGTTTGAACAGTGTTGAGTGTATTTTACATTTGTCATTTCGGAGTCTTTAATATCTTACTATGCTGTATGGATTTTGCTCATTGTCATTTGTCATTTCTACGTAATTCAGTCTCTGGTTAAATTCTCTCATTAGACATTATACATTTATTTCCCGTGTCTGAGGGAGATATGAAGATTTGCTCATCCAAGAATATTCATATTTCACGAGAGCTCTGCCCGAGGGAAATATGATTTTTCGAGGGTGAGCAAATCTTCATATCTCCCGAAGCAAGGGGAAATGAATGTGTTATTCTACTGCCTATGGGTTGTTTACTATCAATACATTAAATATTATTTTGCATACATTTTGTTTTCTTATCCGCTTGTTTTTATAAGTTAAACTAAACACGACATACCCATTGATAAACAGTACGAATCAAAATTTAATTATAAGTCTTTTTGTTTTATCGTCTGAAATATTTGAACATGATAATGATAATTGCTATCGCTATTTTAAGAAGAATAAGAAGTTCAAAACGTTATGTACATTAACCGCGCGTAACGTCACACGATGTAATCCCGACATTTCAGAGGGGAATATGATCCTCAGAATGGAATATGAAGATTTGTTCAATGACATGTGGGATAGTCTCAACCAATCAGATATTGATTAAACTATCAATATGTATAAAAAGTGGAATAATATCCCATCATAGATGATATATATAAGCCAGTCAAGGTCGTTAAAAACTTCCATTTGTTGCATCATAGATGAACCGACCGTGCAAGGGCTGTATAGCCAGTCAAGGTCGTTAAAAACTTCCATATATATATCATAGATGATCAGGTTTGATATAAAAAAGAAAACTACATTATCGTATCTCGGATGTATATCTATTAAATATAATAAAGAAAACTTTAAGTAAGATTGAGTACAACAAAAGCTTTGCCTTATTAAATCCTTGATGCTGTCTCCTTCAGACTGTCAAACACGGTCACCCTACGAATATAGTCCCTAGTGTGAACAGTGTATAACTTGCATCTTTTTTTTGGATATACTTTCCCAATTTATTTCTTGTAATTTAATGCATGAAATATTAAGAAGGGGGATGAAATTACATGTTAAAACAATTTCGGTGCTGAATCTTTATGTTAAGGAGTGATTTGGTCCAGTTAAAAAAGGTAAAAAAAAAGTACGTCTGAAGCTGTCAAACTGAATTTTAGACCCCTTATCACAGAATTGTCAATATTTTGAGTTGGAGCTGGTAGAAGTTTCTATAACTTTGATATTATTTGTCCCAATAGTAGTACACTACACTGTAAAAAATCTTTTTGAGATAGAGCAGGTGCGATTTTTTTAATTTGAATTTATTCTCTAAAAGAAATGCACTACGAAACAACTGTGTTCTCGGGCCTAATTGTTAACGTGGTATTATATGTGATAAATTGTTGTAAACAATAGTAAACTGAGTATAATAATTTATTCACAGTACGCACTTCCTAGTTTAGTTGTGGTGATAGAAATCTTAATATCATTGATATACAGTTGAGAAATATGGTGCAGTTCTTCAAATGCAGATTTAAACCTTATTAATATTAAACCCAATCCCGCATGCAGCTGTGGCCATCCTGTTGAGGATAGTATTCATTATTTTTTAAGTGCCCTTTTATCAACGAAGCAAGAGAAATATTGTTTTCAAAATTAGAAAGATCTACTCTATCCATTTTGCTTCTATTGGCTGGTGACGGTGACCTTTCATTTCAGCAAAACAAAGACATTTTTGAGTCTGTACAATCATATATCAGAAATACACAAAGATTTAGAACATTCAATTAAAATTCGGAATTCCTACTTCCCAACTCTTCACTCTAGTCCAGTTTTATATATTACTCTATATTATATTATACTTTTTGTTTTTGAGACAAGGCCACATTTTTTCAAAAGAGAAGCACAATTACCCCAAAGCGAATTGCGAGAATTGGTTTCGTATTTCGTTATAGAAAAAAAAATACTAGTAGTTTATGTAAAGTAACGACTCTCGTACGGTGTCGCGTTAATATCTTTTTAATAAATTGGTGCAATTGAATGCAAAAAATAATGACCATAAAATGTCAGGTTTGCGAGATCAGACAGTAACCTAACAACTAAACAATTGAAAATCTAGGGATCAATATTTAACATTCGTCAGCAATGAGCAATTTTCATAAATAAAACATGATTTAGTCGAATACTTTGCGAGTTAAGAAAAAGAGACTACCATAGATTTGTTATTAACCCCAAATGCTTGATGGGTACAAATCAGTAATCAGGAGTTACCTTTTTTGCATTAAACTACATTACAACAGAAATTGGAAAATATGGCCTGGAAGTATTTCTAAGATATTGTTGTTTTCCTGTTCTACGTAGCTTTCTTATTGGCAAACATGGTGATAGATTTGGTAAATGCTGTCAGGCACCGACCATTGAAAACAATCGATCTGTTTAAGAAATGAAAATAACTGTTTGGTGTTGGTTTTTTTTTTTTGGCAAATAAGAAAAATTACCGTTTGATTTAAAATTGTTTAAAATTATTTTGAAATAGATTTATGAAAATAATTTATTTACATGTGAAAAGGCTAGACTTTGTGGCGTAGGGATGTGATTGAGTGGTTTTGTTTACAATTATTTCCCATTATTTTGGCAGTGAAAATCTGCAATAATTATTTGTTCATCACATTATAACAAAACTAGGAATATGACGGATGAATTTAGAGTTAGCTGTTTAATGTCCAGTGGCAACTATTTTATGTATTATTAGGAGGACATTTAAAATGTTATAAATATGAACAAGGACATCCTTTGTTATGCAAACATGTGTATCACGGCACAAGCGATGACCTATAGACCGTGTGTATCATAATTATGTATATTTAGGGTGGGTTTGCTCCGAATAAAGGAGGTATAGATACAGGAAAATAAAGAAAAAAAAATATATAATTAGAATAGAGTATAACGGGAAAAATAAAGAACAGAGGAAAATGGTATAAGAAAATTAAAGAATAGAGGGTCTAGTTTTTTTGCCGGACAATTGTTGATGATAGTTTAAAGTCAAGTGCATTTATAGTTAAAAATAATACACAATCGTATGTACATTGGTAGGGATTTAGTTTAGGGTTGATGAGGCACATAACGAGTAATTGTTTTTATTTGAAATTTCTCGAATATTTGTTTTTTTTCGACTGATTTGATAGATGAATAAAAAAAAAATCTATAATCTAAACAAATTGGTTTAATTACGATATATGGAAACAACTGCTATTCAGTCGATTTTAAAATACATGCAAAAACAGAGAAAACATAAAAATATTTAACAAACCTTTTGGACAAAAGGTCAACCTTAAGACCCCGAATATACTTTTGTAAGAACATTAGATTAATTCCGAATTCCATCTTAAATCAATTGTTCATTTAGGTAAAAAAAAATGTTAATACCTTAGGCTATTTTCAAAAAATGTTAACTGAATACCCTGCAGACTACAGTTTACTTGCACATTCACCAAGTACGTATTTCTACGGCTAACAAAATTCATAATCGTATCTTTTAATTTGTTTAAATTTATTTCAGTGTTTATTTTTCAAACTTTTTATGTAAATAATTTTGGATCAACATCGAGTCAGATCAAATTATAATTTATTAAATTATTAATTAAAAACTGAAACATGCATCCAATCTAAATTTTACGCCTATTATCACCTATATAAAAAGATTTAACAGAACACCATTCATGTTTTATATTAAAATAAAAAAACATATACGCTAAACGAAACTATGCACGCCAAGAAACGATGTACGCTAAACGATACGATATACGCTAAACGAAACGATGTACGCTAATACGCTAAACGATACGGTATACGCTTAATGAAACGATGTACGCAAAACCATACGATGTACGATAAAAGGGCGCTTATGTTATCGTTTACGGTATGGTTTATGGTATATGGTTTCGTTCGTACATCATTCGTTCAGCGTCCGTACAACGTTCGGTCAGCGTTTCGTTTGCATTCGTACACCGTTCGGGAAGCGTACGTACATCGTTCGGGCATCGTCCGTACATGATTCGGTCATCGTTCGTATTGTTAACTTTTACGTTACACGGACTGTAACAAATATGACCGGCATCTCTGTTTGGTTTATAAATCCATCCACTCAGTAATATTCATAGATCTGATATTTTGTTTCATGTTAGAA